TTCCTTCCTTCCTTCCTTCCTTCCTTCCTTCCTTCCTTCCTTCCTTCTTCTTCCTTCCTTTCTCACCCTTCCTCTCTTCTTTCCTTCCTCTCTTTCTTCCTTTCTCACCCTTCCTTCCTCTCACCCTTCCTTCCTCTTCCTTCCTTCCTCCCTTCCCTCCTCTCCTCCCTCCCTCCCTTCTTTCCTTCCTCCCTCCCTCCCTCTTTATATCAACCACCTATCCCCCTCAAAGAGGGGTTCTGAGTTGGTCTCCCCTCTTTTAAGGCAAGGCACCCCAAAAGAAACGGCTCGTAGCCCCAAGTGTGTAAGTAAGAAATGCAACTGAGACAGGAACTGCAAAAAAAAGGCAAGTTTATTTTAAAAGTCCCAGCCTAACAATGTGCGCTAAGCTCATCCAAACAAGACCGCAATTATCTTCCCAGGACTGACAGGGCACCCAAATTACACTTAATGGCCGAAAGGAACTTTTTTCAGAAAAAAGGGCTTATCCCGAGGCATCAGCGCAAAAGAAGCAAGCAGCCGTAACTCGAGAGTCCGACATGAGAAAACGCGAAGACGAGGGGCTGGAGCTGCTCTCCCCCACCCTCCCCCACCCCACCTTCCTCCCCCGAAGCGACGAAGGCCATTTTGTGGAAACAAAAGTGCCTCTGAAAAACCCTCGTGGCCAGCATCCCGATAACGGCGTATGGATGTCCAGCTAAAATTACCAATTACTTTGCCAATCGGCTGCGACGGATTCGATTGGTTTGTAATTCAGGCTCGTGGCCGTCGCGCCCCGCCGGAGGGTTGGCGCCATCCCTTGTGTGGGGACGACACACAATCCCTGCGCAGTGGGGCTCTTGCGCCCTGAACCGTCGATCCGGGCCTCCTTTTCATCCACAGACGTGGCAGGGATCACCTGGGGTGCTAAGTAGTAGAAACGCTGGACCACTTGAGAAGGGCTGCTTTCTCTCCCTCTTCCTCTCTCATATCCATCCCTCTCTCTCTCCCCCTCTCTCTCGTTTTCTCTCTCTCTCTCATATCCATCCGTCTGTCTGTCTGTCTCTGTCTCCTTTTCTCTCTCCTTTTCTCTCTT